ATAGTTGATATATAACAGTTTCAAATGCACAACATTATTTGATATTTGTATGTATTGCAAGTTGATTACCAAAATAAGTCAATTAACATCCATCACCATAACTGCAAACAGTTCTTTTTTCTTATGATGAAACTTTTAAGACCTACTCTCTTAGCAATTTTGAAATATACAATACAGTGTTATTCTCTATAGTTACCATGCTGTATATTACATCCCCAGGTATTCCTTTATAATTGAAAATGTGTACTCTTTAACCCTTTTTCTCCACCCCAACCTCCACATCCACCAATCCATTCTCTGTATCTATGAGCTTGTTTTTGTTGTGTTTTTTTATTCTACATATATAAGTGAAATCATGTGGGTATTTGTCTTTATCAATCTGACTTATTTCACTTAGCATAGTGTCCTCTAGGGCCATCCATGTTGTTGTAAATAACAAGATTTCATTTTTTATGGTTGAATAACATTCGTTAAATATATAGTATGAAATCCATTTTCTTTATTCAGCCATCCACTGATGGACACCAACACTGTTTCCATATCTTGGCTTCTGTAAATAATGCTGTCTTTAGATCCACTGAGTATCTTCAGCCTCTGCCATGCCACCTGGCAAACAGAACGTGCTGTTCAACAAGTATCTGTCCTATGGCTTCATCAATAAAACTGTTTTTCAAAAACCAAGCATTCTGAAGAGATATAAAAGAGTCCTGTGCCTTAACCAGCTGCTACACTGTAACACTAATCATTGATATGGTGTTATTACATGGCATACTTGAGGTTACCAGCAACACTCCAAAAAACATATTATGTTAATATATTTCCAGCATAACATATTAACATATGCTAAGTATGGCAAGCAGGAAACAAAATATGTACTTCATCTCTGTTCTAAAAATACAACTAATAGAACTTGGTCTACCATTTCCAAATTTAATAATTAATCTGAATTTTTACTGAATTTTAGAATTTATAGAAGAAATTCTTGGTGTTTCACTCAGGCTGTTTCAATCACACTTTTGATACTCTAGGAACACAGAATAAGCCTGAGATTATACTGTATCACCACAATGAGAGCAGCATTGCATATACCATTAAATAAAACTATCAAATATTAAAATATGGCTTGTTATATAATTTTCAGAAGGCTACTGGATGACAAGTTACACATCTTTAGTGTGTAATATGTCCCTCTAAAACTTTTATGGAGAAAGTAACACTTCTAAGGTCCAAGAAAGTATTCCCAAGATGTACAACTGATTTGTAAACCAACAAGTATCTTCTGCCTTGCTGCATTTATGATCAACATTATATAATTATATAAGTAGGTTTATGTAATTAGCTTCAGACTGCTAATACTTAAGCAATTAATATTATTCTAGACAACTGTTTTTTATCAGTTAGTATTACAGGCCTGTCCACTACAATGAGAAGGAAAACTGTTTTCCCAATCTCGTATGTCCTCAACCTGTTCCTATCAGCACTTTCTTCTCAGAACCCTAGTCAGGTCTTTCTCAATTTCAACCAACTCAATACTTTGATTTGATTTAGTCTGACTACCACCTCCTGTCTCCCTTCTTCACTGCTAAGTTTCTTGAAAGAGTAACAAAGTTTACCATCTCCACTTCCTATTGTCTCCATCATTTTTCAATCTGTAGCTCTGGCTACTTCCTTCAACCTTCCAGTAATCTATTCTCACCAAGGTCATTCCTACTAGTGGTTAAATCTGATTAGTGCTATCCAGATCTTAACTTGCTTCGTGCCCTACAGCTGCCCTGTCCAATACAGTAACTACTATCCATATGTGGCTATCAAACCCTTCAAATTTAGTGAGTACAAATAATAAAGAAAGTGAATTTTGCCCGGTTGGCATGTCTAGGTGGTTGAGTATTGACCTATGAACCAGGAGGTCACAGTTCAGTTCTCAGTCAGGGCACATACCTGAGTTGTAGGCTTGATCCCCAGTGTGGGCCGTGCAGAAGGCAGCTGATCAATGATTCTCTCCCATCATTGATGTTTCTCTCCCTCTCCCTCTCCCTTCCTCTCTGAAATCAATAAAAATATATTTTTTAAAAAGCGAATTTTGAAATTTTAATTAAATTTAAAAACTGACATTTGATTCAGTCGTAGGATTCTATGGAATAATTTGTGTATATGAACCTACATTTTCAACTATAAACTTAATGAAAACTACAGATCAAGAATTTCTGAAAATTTTAGCATCAAAATTAACATGTAATGTAAGCCTAAGTGTAACATACACACTAGATTTCAATGACTTAGTATGAAAAAAGGTTATAAAATAATCTCATTAATAATTTTATATTAACTATATGTTGAAATGATAGTATTTTGGATATACTAGGTTAAATAAAATTATTAAACTTAATTTTACCTACTTATTCTTCTTCAAGTGGCTATTGGAAAATTTAAACTTATCTATGTATTATTTTATTTCTACTGGACAGTGCTGCACTATAGGATTAGATTATTGAATGATGGCTACTCATTCCTTCTTAAAATGCTGCTGCTGCTATCTCCATTTCTTCCTTGACTCCCCATTTTTTGTCTGCCGTGCACCTTATTCTCCCACCCACTCCTTAACTGCCAGTGTCTCTCAAGGTTGTCCTGAGGACCTTTCTAGTACTCTCCCTAGAAGACAGATCTCACTCTCACCTAAGGCTTCCACTATTTCTTTACACTGGTGACTGGAAACCCTTCACTTACAAATCAGCTCGCTCTCTAGGGAACAGTATTCTCAACTACACCTAAATCTAAGTACACCTGCACTTGATCTGCCATTGTATCTTTCAGATATTTACCTTATTAATATAAATCTGGCCCTTCTTATCCACTTCATTCAGGTCCTCACAATTTCTCACCTTTACCACAAAATTATCTTCCAAAGTACTATCCCTGCCACCTTCCAAATCAATTTCCTTTTGTTAAGTGTCTAAGACCCACACCTGGACACATGATTTCTCTGTTCAAAATACTTTAGCGGTTTCCTCGCTGCCTCCAAGATAAAATAGAAACTCCTTATAGTCATACATAACTTGGTGCTTGCCTGTCTCTCAGGCTTTATGCTTCATCACCAAACCTGTAACATCCAAACCTCAGATATGTCTAAGGACCTGAGTTCTCCAAATGCAACATTTCCTTTCTCACCACCATGCTTTCTTTGCACATACTCTCTCTGTTGACAGCAATATCACTCCTAAAACTCTATCCCTGCTCTCTAGTGATCCTTCAAAACTCAGCTAATACATCATCTTCCCCTGGAAATGTCTCCAAACCCTGAAGTCTGAGCAAGTGCTGTGTTGCCATCACACCTATTTACAGCTCTACTAATAACCCATCACACTGCCCTTGGATGATCTGGCCAGTCTGAGAATTCTCTGAAGATAGGAAAGAAGTGCTTTTACTTTCTCTCCATGAGTTATCTATATATATGCAAATTGTCCCCATGGGAGTTTGATTGGGAGGCCGATCACTCACTATGACTTATGCTGACCATCAGGGGGTGGTGCTGAACAAAGGAAGGCCCTGGCTGGCAGCCAGAAGAAAGGCCCCATACAGAAGCTGGAAGGACTCTATCAGCCCTGATTGCCAGCCATGCCTAGGGACCCTACCTGTGCACAAATTTTGTGCACCAGGCCTCTAGTTCTTAAAAATTACCTAATGGTAAACAGACACTACATTAAATAAGAGAAACCCACAGAATAAAATGCAAGGCTAGAAATTTTTTAATGGGCTAATAAAGTGAGTGAAATAAAAAAGTTAACGCAACCATCCAAAAAAATTAATTAGATGGTCTATGTTAGGACGTACTGATCTGGGCAATAAAAAAATATATCCTAAGTAATCATTAAAATACCACATACTCAACAGAAGCAACAATTTAAAACCTTAAAGACTAAATATGTTATTCTATAATCTTGTTTTTCATATTATTTCAACTCTAATTCTACTTATCTGTTCCTTTCTTCAGTTCTTTACATTAATTTTCCTTCTAATTAAATTCTGCATTCTTTCCTTCCATCATCCAATCCTTTTCACTTCTACTTTCCCTTTCTCTGCTATTCTTTGAATATAACAGGAAATTACAAATACTGTCTTTGCCATCTCTGTCTGCAAGTTTATATTAAAGAAAGGAATGGTCAAAAAGCATTGAATGAAATTATGTCACCAGTCAGATTGTTAGACAAAACCACATGCATTGATCTAGGTGGATGATTTAATAATACTAAACAGTAACCTGAGCCATGTGCATACTAAGGAGTCTGACAGGCATCAGCCAGTCCTTGGGGTGATGACAGCAAGACAGTGGGGAGTAAGAGAAAAGAATAGCCAACTTGCTGGCGTTGAGGGCAGTCACAGACCAGCCTCACAATAGTCTGCAACTTGTGTCTGCCCTTCAAGAGGAAGCAGAAATGGCCATGGTGAATGCAAGGAACTGTCAGCTATCTGGACTAGCACAGCTGAGTAACCAATTTGACACAGAGCAACAGCAGCCAACTACCACCAGCTGCTAGTCTGAGCATACTGGCCTGGGTACAAACTTGGAGACACAAAATAAAGACTACTATTCCCAGGCAACTTCTGAATTTTAGTTTTACTACAGAATAGATTCTGAGAGAGGCGGAGAAGCACCTGGAGAGGAATTACATACAGCATTTAAATGAGGTTGGTAGGGAGAAACAATTTTTGGAAGGATAGCAATTGATAGAGGGAAATAGGTTGCATTCCTTTAAATTACCTGAAAGTAACTTTCCCAAACCACTCCACACTAAGTCTTGGAGGCATACGAAAGTTCACCCTAAAGATCAATGTTTTACAGAATTCACAAACAAAAATAAAACATCTTTAACCTTACACTCAGCAAGACAATGTAACAGTAAAGGTATGTTTGAAATGTTTCTAAAACATCCTGGAACTGGACAGTCAGCAGCACCTTTAAACAATTTAATTCAAAGCAGTGCAGGGCACGTTTACGCTCTTACCCGTGTCCAGGAGTTGAGTTTCGATTCTCCAGAACTCTGTGGTTCTTTGGTAATTAGACAACCTAAGCACCATGTTAGAATTTTTTGGCTTTCATCTGCAAAGAGAAAAAAAACTAAAATGAGTAGGTTTAATCAAATAAAGGAAAAGATAAACAGTATTAAAAATGTAAAACATTTTATCTACAGGAAATATGTCTATTATATTTTAAGAAAATCTCAAACTACTAGGTTCACAGAATAATCATTCAGGACCACGTGTGAAACAACTTTGTGGAGTTTTTTCTTCTTGTGGGTTTGGGATCATGTATGCTCAGCACTTGTGTGGTCAATTCCCTTTCTGTTACAGCAGCAACTTTTAAAGCCAAAAGAGAATGATGGAAAGAACTAAAAGAACTGGGCAAGATCAGTTCTTTATTTCTCAAGATCAGTTCTTTATTTCTCAAGATTAGTTCTTTATTTCTCATTAAGTTTATTTCTCGTTAGTAGTTTCAACCTCTTTAAGGCAACATAATTATTATAGGCAGCACTCAATCTTTCAATTTTCTAATTTGCCAAAACACCCTCCCTTTTTAAAAACAAACTCAAAAAAAGATTGTTTTATACCAAACAGTTTGCATAAAATAGAAGCCTCTTAACATGCTTTTAATTTTTTACTCTAAAATTTAAAACTTTAGTAAATATGTGATGAAAATGCTGAACTTTGCAATCTTGCATTTGATGGGAATAACTGTTTAGAGAGCCTTTTCTCTCTCTCTCTTTCTCTTTTGGACAATGAGTCCATTCCAGCTGGAAATTTTTTAACAGGTTTGAAAAGCAAAGGAGGCCTAAAGATGGAAGATGTCAGTTACCCGAATTAGAGCCAAGCAGCTAGGACTTCATCACAAGGCCATGGAGCTGGGGCTGAGGAAACCCAGCACCTGGCATCAAGCCTTTGCAGAACCACCTGATGCCCGGCGGGGGCAGAAAAATAAATTTTCCTTCTATCCTTCTAAATTCTTCTGTCTGGACTAACAATCAAATTAATATGAGAGAGATTAACAGGAAAACATGACCAAACTTACTATGTATGTACATGTGGATGTTCCATAAGAATAAGGGACCCTGGCCCTCCCAGTGCTGGCTCAGTGATTGACAGTTGACCTATAAACCAGGAGGTCACAGTTCAATTCCCAGTCAGAGCACATGCCCAGATTGCAGGCTCGATCCCCAGTAGTGGATTTGCAGGAGGCAACCGGTCGATGATTCTCTCTCATCATTGATGTTTCTCTCTCTCTCTCTCCTCCTCCTCCTCTCCTCTCTCAAATCAATACAAAATATATTTTAAAAAATAAAAAGAATACGGGACCCAAGGATAAGTAGGGCAGTTAAAGTTTATATGCTACCTTGAGCTAAGGAGAGGGATGACCATTATGATCTTGGATTTTACAAGACAATTTACAGGAAGATGGAAAAGCAAATGTCTGATAAGTAAATGTTTGCTGGACTGTTTTTAACAAGGGTCACAGAGAGAACTTTGATCAAAGGGCCTTCCCAGGTTCCTCCCAATCACACTCAGTTCATGTTAAACTATCACTGTCTATAACAGCTTCCTTCCTGGAGCAGGTCCTCTCTAAATCCTTTTAGTAGTTGTGTGAAGGGGTGAGGGGGGCAAATTTAAAAATATATATATTTTATTGATTTTTTTACAGAGAGGAAGGGAGAGGGATAGAGAGCTAGAAATATTGATGAGAGAGAATCACTGACCCGTTGCCTCTTGTACACCCCCTACTGGGGAAGTGCCCGCAATTAAGGTACATGCCCTTGACTGGAATCGAACCTGGGACCTTTCAGTCTGCAGACCGGTGCTCTATCCACAGAACCAAACCGGTTTCAGCAGGGGGCAATTTTTTTTACTTAAGTCTTTTGTTAATTAAAAATAATCAATATTCCAAAAGCATATTTTGGGGTGAAAAACTCAGCACACAGAACCCCAAGCAAAAGGAACCCAAAGAGGACCACACCAAGACACATCATAATTAAAATTCACTCTCTACCTTCTTTCTTCTGCTATCTCATAAGCACAGCATCTCTAAGGGATTCATTAATAAGAAATAAAGAATCCCTAGCCAGTTTGGCTCAGTGGATAGAGTGTCAACCTGTGGACCACAAGGTCCCAGGTTCAATTCCGATCAAGGGCACGTACCTTGGTTACAGGCTCCTCCCTGGCCCAGGCCTTGGTCAGAGCACATGCAGAAGGCAACCAATCAATGTATTTCTCTCACATAAATATTTCTGTCTTTCCCTCTCTCTTCCACTCTCTAAAAATCAATAAAAAAATATCCCTGGGAGAGGATTAAAAAATTTTTTTTTAAAAAAGGAAAATACAAACTACAGAAACTACCTCTGCATTTTCAACCACACAAGACACTAACAGTATTTTTTAAACCTATAAATATCTATAGGCTTATAGTCTCCTAATAACTAACATATTTAAACAAATTTTATCAGGAGTTATTCGAAGGGACTCACTTTTCCCCCTAGTTTCCATGAGCTTGCCTGAGATCAATTTATTTCAAATACCATAATTTAATGTCTAATGATCTTAGCATTCTTCAGGTTGAACCAATCCCACTGATTAAAAATATGACTATTCTAGGGCCTATGTTTTAAATATTAGAAGAAATTCCATCTTTGTGTCACAAGTGTGACAGAAGATCCAATGATAAGCTTGAGACAGCACAGAAAGAAGTTAGGAAAAACTCCCAACTAGGAGAATGAGGAATTCGGAGCAACATCACTGCTGATAAGCTGCTGGCTAAGTCCTCTCAGCAAAGCCCCCACCTCCACACATGGTCAAAGGGAAACAGTTTATTGCAGGAAACTCCTGTGTGTGCACAGGAGTCATCAACAAGTACTGGCTGAAATCAGATCAATCCATGCTGGAGGAAAAGGTGACCAGAGACCAACCCCAAGGTCCATTATAATGAAAACTGGCAATACAAGTAGAAGGGGGACAAGTGGATAAACATCATGACACTTGCAGAAGGGACTATATTGAGGACAAGGCCCTCTCCCAATCAAAAGGCAAAATATTAATTTGGTGCCAGAAACGCTATGACACTTCCAAAACAGACCACGTTAGGAAAAAGACCCCCTCTCAACCCAAAGGCAAAGGTAGAATTTGTGTAAGCTTGTCACTAGACTGGTTCTAAACTGGGGGTTCTGCCCTCCAGCCTCCATATCATCCAGGACCTCAAGACTCTTGACTTGCATAGAAAAGAATTCAAGAATGAATCCCAGGGAGAGCAAAAGCAAAAGCAAGCTTACATGGTTTCACCTGGTTTTAGCAGCTCATAATATTATAGTATATCTATTTTTCTCTCAAAAAGAAAAAAAAAAAAAAAAGCCCTGGCCAGTGTGTTCATGTGGTTAGAGCATCAGTCCACGCACCGAAGGGCTGCAGGTTTGATTCCTGGTCAAGGGCACATGTCTAGGTTGCAGGTTTAATCCCCACTCCAGTCAGGGAATGTATGGGAAGCAACCAATTAATATGTCTCTCTCACATTGATGTCCCTTTTTCTCTCTCTCTCTCTCTCTCTCTCTCTCTCTCTCTCTCTCTCTCTCTCTCTCAAAGCCAATGGAAATACTAGTAAAATGCTCAGGTGAGAATTAACAATAACAGAAAACAGAAAAAGAAAGAAAAAGAAAAGCCAAATTAATCTTCACCCAACCTTTAAGTAGACATGGTACGTGTAGGACATCCCTAATTCAGAATGTTAAAATGTGAAAGTTTGTGTTATAGAACTGAAGAAGTAGAATCAGAGGCATTGCTCATTTTGCACTGGTCTCTGTGGATTGCATAGTGCATCTAAATAAGTTCTTGATGATAGTCTTGCAGAAAAGGTTAATTATGGATTAGAGATGAGAAGACACTTTTCCCAGAGTAGAAAGCTAATAAGAGCCAGGAGCCCACCCCTCTAAAGTCTGTCATGTGGTAATGATCTAACCCCCAGCAGATGACACCATGTGGTGGAAGTGTTCCAGTCCTGACTTTCCTACTGGACAGCATCCCCTGAATGTGTATGTTCACTGCACAGATATTCACGGAGGTTTTTGTTTTTATTTGTTTGTTTGTTTTTGTACGCCAAGGCCTAGGAAAACACGGCTCACAATTTCTGCTCAATTTCCACTTAAGGAGAAAAAAGACCAGAAGTCGGAACAAGGATCTGAGGAGAAAGAGAATTTCACAGAGGAGCTCATGCTAGAGTTGACTCTTGGAGGACAGTAGGTGAGATGGGGTTTTTAAGACAAGTCATGGAACTTTCTGGATTTCTGGTTTCTTATTTGTAAAAGTGGAGGCTGGACTAATTTTATCCCTATGGCCTAAACTTGTATTGTCTGCGATCTTTCCTTAGCACCTCATCTTCATTCCATTGGCCCCTTCTGACAACCAGAAACAAATTCTTCATCTCTCTCTGTTTCAATGCTTGTGCTGCCCTTTGAACTGCCCATTAAATTTCAGTTTCCTGTCTGAGGTACATCTTTGATTTTGAGCTCATAGGAAAGACTGACAGGCATAGAACAACTTGCTTTATGCTGTTGTTTCACTGGTTGGGCTTTTTCTCTCAGGAAAGGGTCTTTTTTACAATTATATAACATCAAAATTGTTTTTTAAATACAGTAAACCTGAACAGTTTCCATTAAGGAAATAAGTCTCCCATAATGGTGAGAACAGGATATGAAATAAGGATAAGAACTAAGTATTTGGAAATGGAGACACCAGAAAGAGAAAAGACAAAGTAGGTATTAGAAAGGGAGAGACACTTTTTATTCAGTGGTGTTCTCTTCCTTGGAACCCTTGATTCTCTTTACTCATAATTAAACGTAACAGCTATATCCTCTCTTCCTCACTATTTGCTATTTATTGCAGTGTAACAATTATCCCCCAAACTTGGCAGCTGAACACAATATTTATTGTCTCAAAAAAAAAAAAAATGCTGCCTTCATGCTTTTAAACTATAGAAATAAAGTTTAAAGGATTAACTTTTATTTGAAATTTCAATTTAATATATAAAAAAATAAGATATTAGGTGGCAAATATGTACTGGTATATTCCTTTCATTTCCACTCTTTTTCAGAATAAAAAACTTGCACTAAGATCTGCTGTCAGTTTCCCATCTCACTTCATTGCTTAGCTGGATACTCCAGTCCCAAAGACAGGGCCTCCAAAAAGGATCCTGAGAGAGGCCATCCCCTGCAGTGTGCGTGTGGCATTCATGAATAACAAGTGATGGCTTGCATCTGTAAATTCCTAAAACAAAGTAAGCTCATTAGCAGTACATTTCAGTGGCACCACTAAAATATGTAATACAGAACATGGATGTATGGCCCTGGTAAGAGTGGCAAATACAGTGATGGCTGTACAAAGAAGGCTTTGCCCTTTCAGATCAAGAACCTGAACAGGTCCCAGCTGGTTACACTCAGTGGATAGAGCGTAGGCCTGCAAACTGAAGGGTACCAGGTTTGATTCCAATCAAGGGCATGTACCTTGGTTGCAGGCTCCTCCCCAGTGCAGGCCCTTGTTGGGGTGCAGGCAGGAGGCAACCAACTGACATATTTCTCTCACATTGATATTTCTGTCTTTCTCCCTTCTACTCTTTCTAAAAATAAATGAAAAAATATCCTTAGGTGAGGATTAAAAAATCAAGAACTTGAACAGGTTGAGTGGTTGGGGTAGGTAGAATCAACTCAAGAGAGAAGCAGCAGCAAGAGGCAGAGTGGAGAGGAAGAGAAGTAGGTAAATGAGGGTGGAGCCAGAGAAAGTGAGTATGAGTGTGTTCAATGCACACATGCAGGTATGTTCACAGGACCAAATGCTAATGTCCCTTCCCCACCTAGTTCATGTTTCTTATAGTAACTTATGTATGACAGGTTAGGAGAGGGAAATTGCATAATTCTTTAAAACATCGAAGAGAAATATTAATTTTATTTTTTATTCTGATATCATGTTAACAATCAGTCTTTGACTAAAAAAAAAACATGAAAAGTAAATATTACATTAGCTAATAATATAGTCAATTCAAGGCAATAAGCTTCAATTGTGCACCTTCAGATACACCTGCTCCACCCTACCAAAGGCCCCAGGATGACACAGAACTAAAACCACAGTTCCTGCTCCTAAAAGACATCCAGTCTTCCAGGATATCAGACAGGCAAACCAAAAATTACAAACAGTGTAGTTAGTATTACTGTATAATTAAGGGAAATGCCAGCGGATATGGAAATACTAAGACCGGTTCCTAACTCAGCCCCAGCAAGGTGATTTAAAAGGTTTATGAGGAGGAGAGAGAAGAAAACAGTTCCAGGCATTAGGAATTGCATGTCACGGGCCCTAACTTCATGCATCTCAGGCACAGTTAGTAATCTGACCTGGCTACCACGCGTGCGGTGTAGTTGTGGGGAATTAAACAGGAAGTGAGGCGGGACAGGTAGGCAGCAGATGAGTAAAGTTACACCTCCCCAATGAATCCCAAATTCCTCTCAATCTTTGGTAAAACCAAGTTGTCATCCCTAAATAATGGTAGAGTCATGAAGGATTCAGACTCTGAAGAATAATTTTGCACATGAAAAACAGCACATGTGCTAATATGAAACTGGGAAATAAAAATTATGTCATTATTAAAACCATTTTATACTGAATTAAAAATGAGGTTATGATAATCATCAGGGAGTTAACACAAAGAATTCTATTCTCTACAGATCTGCATCTGTGTGTGTGTGTGTGTGTGTGTGTGTGTGTATCTATACAAACATACACAAATATATATAAACAATAAAGGATGCCACTTTATAATGGAGCAAAGAATATACATTTAAAAAGTTGCTTTGTGAAATACAGAAAACAGGCTTATAATTTAAAGCTCTGTATTTTAGCAAGCAATGCAGACTAAAGTTATCATTAGAAGTTTGTGTTTTGAGAGAACATGCTTTGGATTCTTACCATATGCTAAGATAAAAGGATTCCAGCAAGTTTTTGCCAATAGTTGACCAATTGTGGGGAATCTTTCAATGATTGTTCTTGAATCCTGTAAAAGAAAATTACGCTTTGGTCAGTAAAAGGGCCCTATCTCACTCAGAAAGACTGAACTGACACTATGGTTTGAGGGAACTTGAATGCTTCTTGTTTTAGTATGTAGTTAAGAAAAGTAAGGAAAATAAAATTAGAAAAGATCTTTTGACATGTTATTCAAATAAAGTTTAACAAGCAACTGTCAGGTCTGATAAAATAATTGAATGGATACCCTCTCCCCTGGGAACTGACCTTTAGGTCATTTCACAACCAACATTCCCTTTTGCTTAGACCGCACTCCCCTTGCTAAGACCATTATCTTTCCCCTGGGGACCCTCCCAGAGAATGCTCTGCCCGGGAAGAGGCCGCCTAGAGGCCTTTAAAATCTCTGACTCCCTGGCTCTGGGTGCTGGTCCATTTTGGGGCTCAGCCCGTCTGGTTTTCCAGATGACCTAATAAATTTATAATTCTTTACCACTTTGGCCTCACGCATTCCTCCTTCGGCATCCCTAACCACCACCTTTGTTCACTTTTAAACCAGGTCACCAAGACTAACTAACATGTACAGCACATTTAGTAAAATCAATTTTGTTACCAAATTAACTTCACTTTACTCATACTTAACAGTCAGGAAATGCCACTTTATTTAAAAATAACAAAGGCCACATGACAGTGAAAAAGCATTATGTGTGATTAATATCTTTATAATCTCTTATCTTTATCCTGGAGTTTTATTCTAACAAAATAAAAGATGATCCTAACTCAGCTCCAGAAGGGCTATTTCAAAGAAGGTTTGGGAGGACAAAAACTCTGGAACTTATAAAAAGAAATAAAAGCGGCCAAAGATATTTATCTATGTTTATTACTACTTTGATTACTATATGCTAGACTCAGTCTTCAACAACCTAAAACCTGAAACAATAATAGGCCAACTAAATAGAAAACAGCTTAAGATTTAAAAATATGCATGCTGCCCTAGCTGGTTTGGCTCAGTGGACAGAGTGTTGGCCTGCGGACTGAAGAGTGCCGGGTTCGATTTCGGTCAAGGGCACATGTCAAGGTTGCAGGTACAGTCCCCAGTGTGAGGTGTGCAGGAGGCAGCCAATAGGTGATTCTCTCTCCTCAATGATGTTTCTGTCTCTCTCTCTCTGAAATCAATAAAAATTAAAAATAATTTTTAAAAATAGGCATGCTGTTGTACAATTGCCTTTTCTCACTTCCTTATCTTTCAGATAAAGTTAAAAAATGAGACCAAATTGAGATAACGTGCACAAAGGGTAAAATGATAAGCATTTTCTACTGCTGCAGCAATAAATTCTTCACATTGTCTCAGCATCGAGGCCAGTCTTAAGACTTCCTGGGACCACTTTAAGTCAAGTTACAAAAGTCTTATTATAAAAAACAATTTTAAAATTAGCATTGGTTGTTCATACAGACTGCTTCTTTCTTTGCAGTGTCAAAAGACATATGAACTCATACCACCAATATGAATTATCCTTCAAATTTCCTACTTGCTTCTATTATTATGGGAGTAAAAGTATAATACAAAAGGTCTATGTTGAATCACAATTTTGCCTTGCATCTTGAAGTGAGAAAATAAATATAAAACAAATAATATTTTGATAATATAAAAATATATTAATTTATAAATATATCTATTAGAATAAAAGTAAATCATACCAAATAAAAATATATCAAATCTTAATACAATAAGTTATATGACAACTGTAAAGACATTCAAAATCTTACAATATTTACCAGAAAAGGCCACTTAAAATATCTAAGTCAGAGACCATTAGGGTAATACAGACAGGAAACCACTTCCTGTCTGTATTACTAGGGGTAAAATTCGTCTTTCTACTCCTTCAATACAGTAGGTCAATACTACAAATTCCTGACCTTGGATAAAATTAAGGCTTGGTGAAATCTGGTAAAGAGCCCCTGCTGTCATTAATTTTGGTCACTACTTACCATCTCTTTTAAGGTTTCATAAATCTGCCTCAGGAACTCCTGGAACTGAGGTAGGTGATGGCAGATGTCTTGCTGGGTTTCCAAAGTGGAGGCCTGGCCCCATACAGACAGCTTCCGCATCCAAAACTGATAACCAGAAGAAAGTCCTACTGAATCTTGAGCCATATCAAAAAGGGGGCAAAGGTGATGTACCTTCACTGTGGCCTGTTAAGCAATGACAGAAACAGCACAATTCAAATCTGTAAGAAAGGGGGAAAACGAAATATTTTTTATTGATGACATTATTATAAATGTCTCCACTTTTCCCCCTCTTTGCCTGCCTCCACCAGACCATCCTCCTCTCCCTTCGGCCCTCATCACACTATAGTTGGTGTCTGTGGCTATGCATACATTTGGCTAATCCCTTCACCTTCTTTCATCCAGTCCTCCCTACCCACCTCCTCTCACACCTGTCAGTCCGTTCCATGTACCCATGCCTGTGGTTCTATTTTGTTCATCAGTTTAATTTGTTCACTAGATGCCACATGTGAGATCATACGGTGTTTGTCTTTCTCTCACTGGCTTATTTCACTCAGCATAACAATCTCCAGGTCCATCCATGCTGTCATAAAAGGTAAGAACTCCTTTCTTTTTACAGCCCAGTTATATCCTATTGTGTAAATATCCCAACGCTTTTCTATCCACTCATCTACTGATGAGCACTTGTGACAATATAACTAATATTATTTCCAGTTCTTAGCTATTATAAATAATGCTGCTATGAATATAGGGGTCCATGTATTCTGAATTGGTGTTTTGGGATTCGTAGGATATAGCCCCAGAAGTGGCATTGCTGAGTCAAAAGACAGTTCCCTTTTTTATTTTTTGAAGAACCTCCATAATGTTTTCCGCAATGGCTGCACCAATTCACTCTCACACCATATTGCACTAAGGTTCCCTTGTCTCCATATCCTCTCCAGCACCTGTTGTTTGTTGATTTATTGATGGTAGCCATAATGGCAGGTGTGAAGTCAGATCTCACTGAAGTTTTAATTTGCATCTCTCAGATAATTAGTGACCATGAGCCTTTTTTCATGTCTATTGGCCATCTGTATGTCCTCTTTGGAGAAGTGTCTATTCAGGTCCTTTGTCCATGTTTTTATTGGATTGTGTGTTTTCTTAGTGTTGAGCTATATAAGTTCCGTATATTTTTTGGAAATTAGCCCCTTATCATATACTAGAGGGCCAGTGCACAAATTCGTGCATGATGGGGTCCCTAGGCCTGGCCAGCAATCAGGGCCATCTAGCCCAGTCCCAATCGGGGCCTGCCAGCCAGGGGAAAGAACGAGAGGAACGGGGCAATCGGAGTGGCCAACTAGAAGGAGGGGCTGGCTGGGGGGAGGAACCACAGGAGGGTGGCCGGCTGGCTGGACTGAGGGACCTGCAGGGGGGAGGGGCTGCAAGAGGTTGGCTGGCTGGAGGAAGGGGTCTTGGGAGGTTGGCTGGTGGTCAGTGAGCATCATAGCAACTAGTCGACTGGTCATTCCAGTCATTCGGTCATAACAGTCGCTTAGGAATATAGATATAGATATAGATATAGATATAGATATAGATATAGATATAGATATAGATAGATTATTGGCAAATATATTCTCTCATGCAGTTGGTTCTCATTTTGTTGATAATTTATTTTGCTGTGCAGAAGCTTTTTAGTTGGATGTAGTCCCATTTGTTTTTTTTCCTGTTTCCCTTGCGCTAGGAGATATATTGGCAACAATATTATGAGAGATGTGAGATTTTATTGCCTATGTCTTCCTCCAGGATTTTTACGGTTTCATGACTCATATTTAAGTCCTGTATCCATTTTGAGTTTATTCTTGTATGTGGTATAAGTTGATGGCCTAGTTTCATTTTTTTGCATGTGCCTGTCTAACTTTCCCAACACCATTTATTAAAGAGACTGTCTTTATTCCATTGTATGCTCTTGTGAATTATTAATTGGTCATAAAGGCGTGGGGTGATTTCTAGGCTCTCTGTTCTGTTCCATTGATCTATATGCCTATTTTTTCTGTCAGTACCAGGCTGTTTTTATTACAGTGGCTTTGTAGTACAATTTGATATATGGTATTGTAATGCCTCCAAATTTGTTCTTCTTTCTCAAAATTGCTGCAGCTATTTTAGGTCTTTTTTTGTTCCATATAAAATTTTGGAATATTTTCTCTAGATCTATGAAATATGCCACTAATATTTTAATATGAATTCTATTGAATCTATTGATTCTTTGGGTAGTATGGACATTTTAATTTTAATGATGTTAATTCTTCCAATCCATGGAACAAGGTATATGCATCCATCCACTTATTTGTATTTTCCTCAATTTATTTTTTCAATGTCCTATAGTTTTCTAAGTACAAGTCTTTTATCTCCTTGGTTAAATTTACTCCTAGGTACCTTATTTTATTGTTGTTGTAATAGTAAATGGGATTGTTTTCTTACTTTTTCTTATAGTTCATTGTTGGTGTATAAAAATGGAAAATGAAACATTTAAAAAAGGGTATTTTATTGGTGACTTCAATTTCACTGATGAGTAAAAAGGGGATTACTAGGGACTAAAATAGCATGCTTTCTATGGAGTCATTTTGAATTATTTTTAAATGTGTCACCCAGCTGTAGCTCCAATTATTACCATCTGAACTTTTTATCATGAGTAATATCATTACACTAAAAGGCACTATACCTCCACAGCAATATGCTAATTATGTGCAAAAAGCACAGCTGATAATACTTTGTATTTTTTTTTTAAGATTGAGCTATTTTTAAATATTCAGAATATGAAATTCCTTTGTGTATTTTAATGTAGTGGGAAATCAAAAACATCTACAGGAATTTAAGAAATGTTTTTGAAGTTCTTATGCTTTATGTGCATTTCTGGCTTCTCATAGGTGTAAAAAAATCTCTATGCATTATTGTCTAATGAATTTTCTTCCCAGTATCTCTTTCTTAGAAAAAAGTAAAAGAATTTATTTCACATGTATTGATTTGAACAACCTGTATGGCTGCTGTATATGCTTGATCTCATTGACAAGACAAAAAATCATATTTTAATAAAATGTTATGAACTCCAATTATTGAAGGGGGTGTACTAGTCCTAAGTGACAGAAAATAAAACCTTATAACCTTGACTTACTGTACCTGAAGTGCATATTAAACAGAACGAAGTCAAGCAGCCAGCATGTGCCGCAGGCAAAGCCAGGGAAATATCGCCAGGTGCTCTACTACCTTCTTAGCCTCTGGCCTCCTCACCGTGGGAAGCACACAAGGCAGAGCACGAAGGGCTGCTTCAACAGGTGTAGCCTTTAAAGACATACTTTCCTAGGCAGGGATAACACAGCCATCTAATTTCAAATGATTACTCTGCAAGTGATGAGCTTAAATCCTCATCAGCAAGGAATAACAGATAAAATGTTGCCAATTAAGTGTCTAAAACATCAACAAAGAGGTTCTTATTACTAAAAAAGAAAAAGGAAATGTAAAAGATTATACAACTGCCCTGGCCAGTGTGCCTCAATTGGTTGGAACTTGCTCCTATACACCAAAAGGTTTCTCTCTCTCTCTCTCTCTCTCTCTCTCTCTCTCTCTCTCTCTCTCTCTCTCTCTCTCTCTCTCTCTCTCTCTCTCTCTCTCTCTTTCCCTCCCTCTCCCCCTCCTTCCTTCCCTCCCTTGTTCCCTCTCTCTTCCTTCCTCCCTTTCTTCTCTCTCTCTAAATTCTCTAAATTCAAAAAAACATATCCTCAGGTGAAAATTTAAAAAGAAAAAAAGATTTGTACATTTTGTTGCTACACAAAAAATATCTAGACCAGGATATTTAAAGTTTTAAAGTGGTACCAAAATTTTAATTTTAAAGAAGGTTCATGTTTAAATGGGGAGAAAAAAAGCTTTAAGAATAGAGGGAATATATGCATAATGTTAAATGCCATATAATAGCCAAAAATTATTCTTCCCCTTCTCTTTTTGTCCTCCTCATCCAGTCATCACCAATACCTGTCAATTCTATCTCCCTAATTTTATTGCTCTCCACTTTGTTGTGCTTCCAGATATTGCACTTTCATCAGCATTGAGGCAAAACTTCCACGGTGAATCATAATCTTTTTCCACCAGCCAAAAGATTATGATTCACTAAAGGCTCAGATAGTGGTTAGCATTTTTTTTTTTTTTTAGCAATAAAGTATTTTTAATTGCAAACTTAAAAGACCACAATGTAGTGTAAACATAACTTTCATATACAACGAGAAACCAAAAAATCGGTAACCCGCTTTATTGCGATATTCACTTTATTACGGTGATCTGGAACCAAATCCACAATATCTCCTAAGTACACCTGTATGTGTGATTTGATTCGATCTCATCCACTTTTCACTTCTACTGCCTCCATCCGATCCCATCCCCATCCAAGTCTTCACTGCCCCTCTCAAATTTACTCTCAATGACAAAAACAACTCCATTAACCCAACTCACATAAACAACGTTCCCAAATGCATACCTGACCCAGAACATTCCTGCTTAAATTCTCCCACTCCCTCCCAATAACTTCCTTGCAAAGAAACCCTAACTCCTTGTAAAATTAAAAATCCTAGCTCCTTACCAGAGTCTCTTAGGTCCTGCAAATGCAGATCCAGCAACCCTCCCCAGCTGACCACAACAGTGTGAATGTAATTAATGCCATTAAATTTTACACTTAAAAATGTTTAAAATGACTGAAAACAGTTTGGTTCAGTGGATAGAGCGTCAGCCTGCAGACTGAAAGGTCCCAGGTTCGATTCCATACTTTGGTTGTGGGCACATTGGCTGTGGTCACATCCCCAGTGGAAGGTGTGCAGGAGGCAGCTGATCGATGTTTCTTTCTCATCGATGTTTCTAACTTTCTATCCCTCTCCCTTCCTCTCTATAAAAAAATCAATAAAATATTTTTTTTTAGAAAAATGGCTAAAATGGTAAATTTTATGGTATGTACATTTAACCAGAATTTAAAACACACACACACACACACACACACAAAATAATAATAAGAATAATAATAATAATAAAATAAAATAAAAAAACAGACCTGAAGTTGCTCCAGGGCCTGGAGCATAACCTGCGTCTCTGCCAAGCCCCACTCCGAGGCCCCTGCTTAGAACAGTCCTGCACACAGTGATGGTTGCCCACCCAACAGCTCTAACACCTCTGCTGCTCTTTGTTAACAAAAACACTTTATCCAGGA